ACGAACAACACAATGCAACGTCACGGGCCAACATACCATCAACCATGCAAGATGACCGGGGGCGCCACACGCAGAACAACGGGCCAGCGGACGCGTTGCGAGGCGTCAAGGCCACGAAGGAGTTGGGGCGCGCATTGCGCACGACGACGGCCACAACACCGGGGGCGATAGGTATAAATAATGCGACTGTATGTACTGAGTAGCCAGCGAATCCTAGCTTCCTTCTCCCCCACTGCGAAAACATACCTCTGAGCCTACAACCCCCCTCTTGCTTCTACATTGTGCCCCCGTCTGCGTCTGCGTCTGCGTCCGCGTCCGCGTCCACCTAGCTTCCTGCGTCAACCCTCTTCGAAACCCCCTGTCTCCCGGCACCGCGATTCCCCTCGCCCGTCGGTCGCGTTTCCGTCATCGGACGCCGACCGGACACGACACCCCTGGTCTCTCGGACCTACCCCGACTCATCGACCTACAACTGGAGCCCACCGCGAGGGCCTCTGATCATCGTGCCGCCCAAGAAATCCTCTAATCTCAACCCACCAAGGGACGCCCGAGGACGGTTCATCAAGGTCACCGCTACCTCCTCGTCTACCCTCCACGACCAGTTACTACGCGCCTCGGAAGAACGCGAACGTGATCCCGATCCTGCCAACCACTTCTCCTATCCCCCGTGGACTCGATTAGGTGATACACCCTCTGTCGACCCCGACGACTCCACCTTCTACTCGCCTCCCGACCATTCCAACATCGACTCACCATCAAACATCATGCCCGACCCGACTATGCCTCCGCGCGGTAGCGCCTCGGCGCCCACCTTTGACGACGATCCGGCGGAGCTTGGCCGATATTTTGAGGAGCTTGAAGAGCTGTTCCTCTCGTGCAAGATTGCGGACGACGCCGAAAAGGTCCGCCACGTCGTGCGCTATGCCACAGCCAAGCCTGCCAGCACATGGAAGATGGAATCGGCTTACGACGCGAAGGACTACGCTGCGCTCAAGACCGCCATCTTCGAGATGTACCCGGGCTCGAAGCCCGAGGCTCAGTGGTCGCGCGAAGACCTGCGGCGCATCGTCTCTGCACGCGCGGCGAGTCCCATCTCTTTGCGTAACGAGCTTGGATCATACTACCGCGACTTCAAAGGCATAGCTCAGTACCTCATCAAGAAGCTCTGGCTCTCCGAGAACGAGGCGAACTTTCTATTCATCGACGGCTTCACCGGTCCCTTGCGCGAACGACTCGACTTCCAACTGGCGATACTACACCCATCTCAGAACCCGAATGAGGCTATCCCGCGCGACAAAGTCTTTGCGCAAGCTGACCATCTCCTATCGGCGCGGCAGGGTGCTGTCTTCGCTGCGGAATTGCCTCGGACGCATTTTCCCACGCCTGCTGCGGAATATCCGCGGGGGATTTCACCGGCGGCTTCGCCCTCAGCCACAATCGCGGCGCCTGCCGGCATGGTCAAAGTCGAAGATATTCAGTACTACATCAGCGCGGCGCTCGCAGCTCAACAGAATGCGCGCGCACTGAGTGTTCCAGTCCCAGCCAACACCCCTGCTCAGGCTGCCCTCCATCCGGGATCACAGCCGACTCTCACTCCTCGTTCGTACTCCAACAACTGCCACATGTGTGGCAAGCCTGGCTGTCGAGTTAGCTCCTGCCCAGATGGTCATGAACTCGTCCGCACCGGGAAGGCTATACGAAACGAAGCGGGGCGCTACACACTACCGAACGGACAGTTTCTCCCGCGGCACGTCGAAGCGCCAACCATGCGGGAGCGTTTTGACAAGTTCCATACACTCTACCCTGGCAACCTTGCAGCTGACCTCCGGAATGGGCAACGCGACGATCCCCCGCACATGGCCTCGCATTTTTTTGGCAAGCTGGCGGCGTTTAACGAGGGAGTAACGTCGCCGGCTACCCCTACTCCCGCTTTCGAAGGTGCGCGTATCGAGGAGATTGTCGACGAGGAAGATGATCCAGTCCAAGACTTCCTGCGCAAGGAACTCGAGCACCTTCCTGCCTCTGATCCGCGTGTCCAGATGTTCGAGGCCGCTTTGGAGGCGCGCAAGCAGCAAGTCACAGACGGTGTGAAGGCACCGAGGCGGACGTCCAGCCGCCTCAGCCAGAAGAAGGAGGTCCGTTTCTCAGACGACAGCACGAAGACGACCTCTAGCAAGCCCAGCGAGTCACCCGCTCCTCCCGTCGCCGCACCAGCTCCAGGACCACGCCCGCCAGCTCAGCCTTACCAGCCGAACGGACCTTCAGTTAGCATACCTCGCACGCCGCCGACCGTCCCTCAGTTCCGATACCACGCACCCATCGAGAACGATGCGAACGCACCCAATCTTGTCAGACAGCTCCTTGATCAACCGCTGCTCGTGTCTCCCCGCCACCTGCTTGCAGTCAGCCCTGACGTTCGGAAGGAACTTAACCGACACATCTCGACGAAACGCGTACAGCTCGACGCTTTGACAACACCAGCACCTGTCGTGTCGACCAATGACTTCTCGCAAGCCTCTTCTGCGCACTTTGCAGACGTTGACTCACCGCGCCCGGTACCCGTTTCAGTAAGCAACTGTCGCCTGCGCACAATCCGTCCGCTCGTGGGTGGGCTGATCCATCCGGAATGTATCCTTGATACGGGATGCGAGATGGTGGCGATGCGTCAAGATGTCTGGGAGCAGCTCAAATGGCCGCTCAATGTGGACGACCGGATCACAATCGAGGTTGCTAACAACACGACGACGCAGTCCTGCGGATCACTCAAGGACGTCCCCTTCGAAATCGGCGGTCTCACCTTCCATCTTCAGGTTCAGGTTGTACCGGAGGCGCCCTGGGAAGTGCTCATGGGTCGTGCCTTCCACACGTTCGCAAGCTGCGTAACTCAGGACTTCCCCGATGGCAATCAATACATCACAATCACTGACCCAGTATCGCAGCGGCACGTTCAGATCCCTACGCACGAGCGAAGTGTTCCCCGGCGCCCGCATTCCGAGGATTTTTAGCAGTCGATGAACCGAGACCCACTCGACGAGACGCAACATGCTCATCTGCCCTAATCAGCGCTACTCGCCTTCCACTCTATGATTCTTCCGCTTTCTCATTTTTGTCCTCTCATCTCAACTCTCCTTACCCTCCATCATCGCCGCTCATCGCTGGTTTCTCGTCTCGGGCTACAATCTTTGAACTGGAACTTCTGAATTTTGCGCCTGCCTCTCCGCTTCCTGACACATCCGCTTTTGGCGCCAAATACAAACCCGTGGCACGCCGTGTGAAGCCAGTCTCCGCCATCCTCCCGGAACAATTTCGCATCGTCCGGCGACACGCTCTCGACATCTTGGCGACTATGCAACCTCTGCCGACCCACCCGCCTCCTTTTGAACCTGGCGAGCGCTACACCCAGGAGCGATACGAAGCTCAGCAGCTCAACTCCGACGGTTTCCTCTGGCCAGAGGAAGAGCGTCTCGCACACTGGGTCCTGCGCGCGAACGAAGAAGCCATGGCTTGGGACGAATCGGAGAAAGGGCGGTTCTCTGCGGACTACTTTGACCCGATCCTGATCCCAACCGTCGAGCACATCCCATGGGTTTTCAAGAACATCCCTATCGCCCCCGGCATTCGGCAGCAAGTCGTTGACATTC